TATGACACTAAATGGTTGTCACCTCATCAACCGTTTCGACTGGCAGGTAGCCCTTGTCTTTTTCCGGTGCACATCGGACCTGAGGGTTGGCTGAGTGCGCCCTTCATTGGCGCACTCAATCTTCCCTCACCAGTCAGAGCCGGTAGGCACCAGGAACCCCATTACGGGACTGCACGTCGCCGATGCATCTTGACCACAGCCACGCAAAGTCATGACACTATGATCAGAGCTCTTCCTTCTCTTGCACAAGTTTCGGTAAGTTGACATGCATTTATTCGGATCGTAAGCATTTTACCTTTCTCTTACGGTAATAAGACTAATGATGAACTGGTGAGATGGTCCATATCCAGCGTTACACCCTATTTTGTAAGTCGTTTCCAACAATGACCGGTTCGGGCACAGCACCTCCGCAGCTGAGGGTATTATCGAATTTGTAGTTTACTACTCCTCTGCGGATCAAGCAGAAGCACGCAGGAAAGTGAGACTTCCCGGTCTACAGCGTCCAAAACCAACAAAGCTCAATGCGACTTTTATGGATTCCTGCTCTGTAAGAATGGCTGTCCACGTAAATCATCCCATCGATCTAGACACAGACACAAAGTGCTTTTTCTTTTTTCCAAACCTTGAGCCACCTTCTTTGCGTTACTTTTCATAACAGTCGAGCCGGACATGCTATGAGCTCGTCATTCTCCAATTTCCATTTTGGATTGATTATTATTGTTGCTATACCCAAATTTTTCTTATTCCTTGCAGTTGTTCGCCGTTCTTTGTGTGTATGTTGGTGCGTTCCCTCTTAACTTATCAATTCTTAGTCACTGCACCACCCTATGCTCAGAAAACTTCCTAGTAGGCAGAAGCTTTTGCACATGAATCCTGAGATTGATGCTCCTCCTCTCAGCCTGGAGCCGCCTGTTCGGCCTTGTCGGATTGCGTCCTTTATCCTCGGACAGACCGTGGTCAAACTGATGAAATGAGCCGCACAGGTATCATGGCATCATACGGCTTTACCATCGTCTACCGTTTCAGAGCATCCAGGCACCCGGCTGGCGGAAAACTTGGCACTTCCACGACAACTTGGAACTTGTCGATTTGTTCGATAACACTAATATCGAAACCTTCGTGCCCCCGCAAAACACGATGGAACGTCTTTTCTTCCCGAAGACCGTCTAATACATCGCAGCGATTCCTCTTCCGTTAGAACCTTCACCACCAGAAGGATTGGAAACCGTCGCTAAGCTGCTGAGCTAACTGGAGCTAGAACTTCTCTAAGGCATTCGACAACCGCTACTGTTCCCGAAACGATAGCAGTTCCTCTATGAGCCAGCGGGGAGTGCAGAAGCTTGTCGATTTTCCCTAGGCCTGTGTCAACGCCGAGCAGAAAGCCGCGGTAATCATTCAGTCAGCAGCAAATCAGCTGTATGCATTACTTCCATTTGTGCAGCTGCCCTCATCTAGCTCTATTCAACCGGATAGCAAGCTTCCAGTAGTGACAAACCTCAGCCATAGTGAACTTATGCCACCGCCTCTATCACCTATGCGAGGGCCTTGACTTTTCCGCGACAGATACTCAGTTGGATCCTGATGCCATCACCATATTTTTCAAGCTTTACTGTCCCATTCCGCTTGGCGGCTATCTGTTAACTACGTATGTAGGACGCGCTCCCGCATATCTTAAAGGCACAGTTCACAATAATTCGAGGGGCGGGAAAGCCCCGCTCTTCCGCCCTTCGATCGATGCCACGTCAGACGAGTGTCGAGACAATATTGGTTGCAACTATTCGTTTCAGGGCCCACACACAATCAGCTGATCGCCGAGTGATGTTTTTCTCCCATTCTTTTTTCCTCTGTTATTCTTTTTACTGCCGCGATCCCTTACTTAATAACTACTCGTAGAGGCTGAAAAAGGTGAGCTATTTTTGCTGTTACTAGGGTTTTTTGTTTACTTATGCTTACAGGTGAATGAATTTTCGCTTACCATAATCTGTTATTCGCACCAGGACCCACACGCACGTAATGAGAAACATTGTATAGCTCGTCCAAACGCCCCACTCTTTTTCATTTTTCTGGTCTCATTCTCGTCCAGCCCCTTTTTTACGGTTTTTCGAAGCCTTTTTTCACTTTAGAAACAACGATTCACGCAATTTTTTCGCCTTCATCGCGCTACTTTCCACCATATCTTCATTTTTCGTCATAATCTGGGTTACCCAAAATTATCGTGAACTGTCCCTTTAAAAGAAGTTGTTGCCAGAGAGTGACCTAATTTACCTGTTGTTTCCCTCTATGGAGCTAATGCGTCTAGGTCATGCAGTTGCCTTGGAAAGGACTTCGCAGGTTGCAACGGTATACCTTGAGAATCCTATCAACGCTCCTGCGCCTTCCGCTTTTCCCTTCTCGGCCCACTGTCCTTCATAATTCATTGCATTTTCAATCTGCCAATCGCTAGGGCTTGTCGGCGACAAGACCGATCCCATGAGGTACTCAATTAGCTAATGAATCTGATGTTCTTGCAGGCGTCATACAGGACGAAAGGAGTAGGACATGCAGATAATCAGCTCATAATGGCTCTACGTTACATTGTCAAGTCACTTGATGTAGCACTACAATAGGTGATCCAAAACAGGTCAAATGAAATAGTCCACTTACCTGTTTCTCGCTTTGATTTTCTACCACTTGTTTGCTCGCTATGAATAGAGGTGGTATAGTGACAAGTGTCGTACTATCACACACGCATAGCCCACGGTTCAAACACCGGAACGGTGCTCGCCTAGGACAACGCAGGCTTCATCCCACGGGCCGGTTGTTTTGTACCATACTCGTCTCGTAAGATAAAGACATTGACTTGTACATCACCGATCACCGCATGTCATTTATAGGTCACACTTACATTCAAATCGCCACTACGATTATGAATGAAACCTGAGTGCGGGGCGCATCCCACAAACAGGATTGATTAACGCCAAGACTCTGACATTTATTTACTCGGGCACGTACGAAAAAAAACATAAGTGGAAAATTCCGGGGGACTAGAATTCTTTGATATTTCAGAATAGACTTCAATGCAGCAATTTCCCCGTAAACCATCTGACATTCTTTAAATTTGCTTCACATCGCAAAAAAGGTAAATCAAAAATAAGAGATTTTGGACATTGGAGGAATAGAAAAACGACAATAGATCCTTTTTTGACATGGGCTTGATTTCTCAAGTACATTTCTGTTCATAAAAAGCTGAGTTTTCATTTAATTTCAAAGTTCCAAGAAGCAAGGTCATATTAAAGGTGAATTTTATTTATAGATTCCTATCATAACAATAACAGTGATGAAGCATCAACAACAACATAAAATACCGTAAACAATTGAGAGATCACATCTGTAGCTTCCACAGCTCATCACGATGTTCAGAATATCAAGAAATCCTTGCTCAAACACATGGGGTATATCTTCTTTTTTACATAATCAGATTAATGATGAAAACGGTTTTTTAGGCAATCAGATTAATGATGAAAACGGGCATCGGGAAGATTCCTTCTACAATTACAGTTTCTCCAAAGTTACAACCAACTCCATAAGCTCAAAATGAAAAATTATTACGAACTAGCAGGCCATCTCTTTACCAACCATTAATAAAATGTAGATAACCGTTGTATTTGAACTAAGTCGTCCATTATATGGTATCTGCAACATATAGAACATGATCACACAGCCCGGTGAAACACAGACCACATCTTATACTCTGGCTGTTGCTGAACCTCAAATGACCAACCTGCTCGCCCCAAGACTTCGTGCTAAATCTTGTTTCCGAGTTGTTGAGAGATGCATGAACTGCTCTACCAACTCTCCATCCACCATATTCTTATTATTGGTAGCATTGATCAGCGGTCGAACTGGTTTACCTCCTCGAGCTCCCTTTAACATGAAAAAGCTTAAGGATTAACAAAAAAGTCTTGCCTCCTACATTCTCCTAGGCCATACTTCTTTTCTCTCTGTGCCTACAACAGGATCCCAAGTGTGGCTGAAAAAGTATGAGAATTGTCTGCCTCNCCCCCCCCCCCCCCCCCCCCCCATATGAAGCTGTGTTGATATGGGCGAGATGGGCAGTGCTAGAACTAATGGAAATATACCATATAGTGAGTTGTTCTCTGAAGCAACGTAAACATTTTGATATTGCTTGCTTGAAGCCTATGAACCCTCTGAACGACTTTTTGGCTCTTACCGCGGAGTTGCGGTGGTACCAAGTACCGCTCCAGCATTCGTATGGGCAGAAGAAGAAAACCTCGAACCGGCATCTCTCTAAACCACTTGAAACTTTCGCTTCACCGGGGGCTGTCAATTGGCAGCACACTTATCTACGGGAGTAGAAGCACCGACTTGCACACACATTTGTTAATCCGTTTAATGCTCTCGATGATGCAATAAAATTCATTTGGGTTGAACTTTCGGTTGCATATATGCAAATTTTCCGAGACCTCGAGGGCACCCTTACGAGCCTGGATTTTCGAATGTCTACTATTCGAGAAAGATCCTATTGACTTCTGGAATGCGGTAAAGATGCAGACCACTTAGGAATAGCAATGATGGCAAATCAAAAAAATGTAATAAAGAGTGCGGTACGGTCCTCTGAAATGGTTCATCGCATCTGTAGGTATTCCGATCGTAACTAAACTTGTTACTGTTGAACAATCTGTGTTCAGTTTCTGGTGGAGTGGAAGACTCTACTCCAACTGGCTCAGAAACGGTGACAATGAGAATGTTTAGACCTTCCTCGGCACAGCTTTGGCATCACCCTTTCGGGTAGGGTCCTAACAGAGCATTTCGATTCCTTCAACTCCGAAATTCTCGGAAACACTATCTGAACTCAAAGGGATTAGCCTGTTGCTCCGAAAAATATCAGAATCGACTAATACTCGTGAACACTAAATAAGAAGAGCTCTAACACATCGTCTTCTACTATCGAAAATGAGGAGCTAACAAAGAGGATGAAAAGATAAGATTAAATTCAGAAAATTCAAATTTTGGTATTAGAATGATGCATAAACACTCGTATGCGTTTACCTTAGGATTCAAGCCTGCATACTGTCCGACGGAATTCGACATGCACTGATGGAGGAAGTGTAGTCGCCTAAATAGCTTACCACTGTACTACTGCAATTAACAAACGGAGATAATCACAACGCTTTTGGCTAACTGTATCAATCTTAAAACGTTGACGACCGCAGCCTTTTTTGACCGCGCACCGCGTGGGACCAAGCCATTTTTTGCGTCGTTTAATGCGTCCCGACATTTTTGCGACGTTTAATTCGTACAAAAATTTTAACACTTTCCCTGCGTCCCGCCATCGGGACGCATTGTCCCAGCGAGCCAAAGACGTGCGTCCTGGCATCGGGACGCATGGTCGCGAACGTGTTAAGCATACCAAATCGATTATGAAGGGAAAAAGTCCTGGTCCAAAGAGGATATTGGTAGTGGCACGCAAATAACATGATGTTTTTGATAAGTGATTCGTGGAACGATTCTCTGAGCTGAGTTTCTATGATTTTCTCTCAACATCTCCTTATACACTGAGGACAGTGAGGTAGTAGCTAGAAACATCACGATTGGAATAATCAAGTATTACGCTGTTGCGCTGTCGCATTTTTAAGGTTTTCTGCGATTTCAACTTTACGTTTAGAAAGCACCCAACTGCAACTTGTCCTTTAACAAAACCGCGATCTATTGCTTTGCTCTCCTCAGCACTGAATTTTCATCTCAAGAAAGGATCCCAGAACCACTCCCGAAGCAACCTTCGGCAAAAGCCTACACATGACGATGAGCGACTCAATCGAAGCCTGCGCTAAAAGACTCAACTGACGAATTCAGATTCAGGGATGGCCTAGCCCTACAATCAAGAAAAATCATAGTTCTACATTTATGGAGAAAATCCAGTCGATTAGAGCAAAGGATCATGGTGTGGAAATCCGAAACAATTTATGGAAGTACCCAATAAAACACCTGATTGCAGTGATCGTAGCTTGAAAACAATATTACGCATAGACCATGAAAATAATGACCTGAACCCCCCTCCAAGATTACAAAGCCCTATTGAGCAAACCTTCAGGCCTCATCCTTGACGGGAAAAGTCAGCTCATTAAAGGGAGATATTTTCGGACTAGTTCATAGTGCTCTGATGTTGAAGAGGTTTATGACGCCGATACGAGTGTTTGGACAAGATTTTAGTTGCGGAGAAAGTGTTAGCAAGGCGTCTATCTGTTCACAACAAATGTACCCAATACTGGAATTTTCGAGCCCTTATTGAGCCCTGTTTAAACGCTTTTCGCCGATTTTTCGAGTCCTTGGTGAGCCCTCTTTAAACGCGTTTCGCCGAATTTTTGAGTCCCTGTTGAGCTCTCTTTAAACGCTTTTCGCCAGACAGCAGGCATGTGAATTTCTTTGGCCCCTTAGATTCTTATAACTAGGAATTTCCATATCCATAAATTGGAAGCGTTGAAGCTTTCGATCTACTACTCGTGCCGCATTCCCATTTAATAAGCAGTGTTTGTATTTGATGCTCATTTCTTGATGCTAATTTCAACATTTCGAAGCAGATCTGCGAAATAAAGAACGTAAGCATGTATTTCATACGTGGGTCCCTATCAACGCCGGATGGACAAGGTCAAGAAAGAAACGGAAAGTTCAGCGCGAAGAACAGCTAATCGATGAAGTAACCAGGATGGACCACATTAAATGAAAACTCACAAAAGAAGCATGAACTGCAACACGGGGTTTCAAACGATTAACAATCTTACGCAGCACTACCCCCAATGCTTTCTAAACCGTCACTTTACAGTTGTTAACGCGCTTTTGACTTCGAGCACATAATCCCGTCAATAACCTCTCTTCAGGCTCCTCGAAAAACGAGACGAAGACCATCACAACACCGCTGAGAGTCGTCGGCACGCTCGGAAAATGTTCGAAAACAGCATCAAAACCAAGTCTGGGGGGCAAGTCTTTTTCCCTGAAAGAACGATATCGAAGATGCTCACCTGAATTGCCTTTCTGAGATTGGACGGACAATTCCTAAGGAACCATCAAGCGAAGCCCACAAACAAGTTTGCTGCTGCATTATGTGCTTTGCCTCTACGGGCGTCACATTGAATAATGATGAGTGACCTAAACAAGGACAAGTTAGACTAATCAATGGCGAAATAAGGGAACCACGTACCCCTGATTCGAAGCCATGAGTTCACATTCGTGCCAATATTTAGAACACCACGCAGAATGAGTCGCTCTCCACCATTTGACTCTTGTGTTTCTGGCATATAGTTGAACATGCTGATATTACCAGCTTCGTCGGACATTAAGAACGCCAAATGACTGAAAGAAATTTGTTCTATTGCAAAAATCGCAAAAAGGGGAAACTCTAGTGTAGTCGAAGTATGATAGTGGCGTACTTGTTATCTACCAAAAACTGTGCTGCCATAGGTGACGGTACATCCGGTCGATCATCTCTCGACGCAACTGAAAGCGCTTTGAATTGCTCCTGAAAAAACTACTTCAGAGAAGGAAAAAGCATCTCCACAACCGATTAGATTAGGAAAAGAGAACAACGCTACCAGTGGAAAGAAAAACTGACCTGGAATCGAATAAGCGACATCGAATCGTGCATATCGCATGCGATAGCGAGATTTCGAATTGATACCAGTGAATGCACATAGTAATGCATGTCGAGAAAAGAGATTCCTTGCAAGTCGTTATCGCGGAATCCCCAAATAAACACCTGGAATATTCGACTCAGTAGCTAACGAGACTACATGGCTCTTCTTCAAAGAAAGAACTGCCAACGTGCCTTTTGTGCCATCCCGCTCAGAAGAAGACCATTTATGGACGTTAGCGCGGTGACTGGGCCCTTCTGTTCCTTATCGTAAACAATCTGAATTCATACCAATACGAATGACAAGAAGTAGACCTCCAATCTAAACTCTCATACTTTTATTTTATGTTTGGAAGTAGGTTTTCCTGGTTCCGGCACAACATCTATAATTTCTGCGAGTATGATTCGACCTCGAACAAGAACCTGCAAACAACATGTGATTATGAGTGAAAATTACATCACCCACTCAGACAAAAAAACTGGACTTCTCATAACGCCCCTCCCCTCAACAGGGATTACATGGCCTTTTTATCATTCCGTCAAAAATCCGGGAAAAAGATTCATAGTAAGAAACTCGCTCAGGAGAAAGACAAAGTGACAAGAAACGGCTGAAATAGGAAAACGCAGATCACAGGCCCAAGCATTGCAGAAGCCTTAGTGAACTTTAGTACATGTAAGTAACCAAGTAAATACGCCCAGTCTTGTTCCAGATGGCTAATTTAACAGTCTAGTTGGTATGTCCAATGAAGACTCTTTGAAGTTTTCTGAACATTACACTAGGATCCGCTTCATGAATGAAAAATGAAAGAAAAAAAAACAAAACTTAAAAAGATGGCTCACGTTTAAACTAGAGAAACGCCCACAAATATGTTCATAAAGAAGGCTTTCCTAATAAGGATATCGAGTCTCCCAAAAAGCAAGACAAGTGGCTGCAGTTCCATTACTTACCTCTTCGCCATAATTGTTGATGGTACCAACGGCGAGATAAGCTTGCATTCCACTTATTGTGGATTCAGATCGTAGTGTGACCTCCTCGCATGCTGTAACCACCTCCATCTCTTCGAACTTTATATCTGTATTTGGTACTGGCTTCCAATCCATGGCAGAATACAACTGAAAACGATGAAATACACTTATAAAACAATATCTCAGAAGTGGCGACATAAAGACAAGAATGAGAAATAAGTGCAACAACCAGATCCTTGAATACTTACGTTGAGTGTGTACTGCGGGATGGACGGGAGAACAAAGTTGGCGTTTTTCTCATGTGTTTCAACTTGTTTGTCGTCGTTTACCACAACCCATATTTTGTTACTCTTCATAGGTACAGAAGTTGTCACGACGTATACCTAAACAAGAATAGGTAGAATACTTAAATCAAAAATGAAGTTGAAAAATTACCTGACTATTCATAATGTAGCGAACATGGTGGACGGTCGCACCTATTGGTACTTTCCTGGACGGAAAAGGCAACTCATAGTCGACTTCCCCCTGTAAGACGTCTTAACTTATACCGAAAATCATAAAAGAAGCTGTTTATGAACATATCAAAGCTTACCTGCAATCGAGCGATACGTAACTCTTGCAGGTTTCTTGCAATGTATAAAAACCCATTCGGTACGTTTTGATTATTAAATGCGGTAAATGCTGATATTGGACCATCAATTGTCATCGGATGACACTGCAAGCCGCCCCAAGCTCCAACCAAGACTAAGCACGGAAATGCGCCAGTCAGAACCACTCCATGCATCTGAAAAGGGCTTTCGTAAAACAGCAGGCAGAAGAAATTAGTCAACTGAATCTTCTGCAACTCACAACACCACAAACACGCTCGAAAGGATGAATGATGACCCTGTGTTGCTCAATTTCTCTCCCCACTTCCACCTGAAAAGGTCAGCAGAAGCGTGCTTTCTTTTCCCATGCATTTATAAAATCTATACCTCAGCTCTTCTTCCATCATGCCCCATGAAGGGGGCAGATCTTATAGTCACTGTCAACGGCAAGCGACGAAAACCAATCGCGAGGTGTTCTGAGATAAAAAAAAGTTACTTATTAAAATTATTTTTTATATTCAAGAATATAATCAAATTTGTTCAAGTTCTATCATTTTTTTCTGGCTACACGGCCTGAATCGAACCAAACCAAAAAATTGAAACCTCCTAGATAAAATAATGTTCATCAAATAATACTTTATATTTCAGATTTTATTCAAACTTTTCAACATCAAATACGCTTAAGGTTGGGGTTTTTTCTGAGTTTTTTTTTTCTGCTACAAATCAAATCAAAAATTTCAAAACCTATTAAAGGATTCCTCCATTTGTACAACTCGTATGTGATGACCTGATCGTCGATTACAGCCAATAGTGTTGGGTGTCCTTGGTTTATACCCATACCTGCAGATAGAAAAGGTTAAGCAATTAGAAATGGATTGGATATTACTCACCAACGATTTGAATTTCCACTATCCTCTCATTAGGGCGGAATTGAACAGAGGAATTTTCGAACTGCTCAGCTCGAGCTTCTAAATATATGGCCATTAGCTATCGATATTAGTGAATGGTAAGAGGTAAAGAGCTCGAGGGTGCTCAAAATAATGCGGTATGGCAAAGCTACCTACCCTGTTCCTTGCGATCTTTCTCTTCCTCATCTGGCATCAAATCCGTAACAAGTTCCGGCATAAGACCGAATTTCAAGAACTATAAGTACGAAAAATGACGAAACGATATGCCGTAATAAAACATATTTGAAGCAAGTGCTCGAACCTCCTCATCGAGGCACAGTTATAAATGAAAGACCAACTTGATAAACTACTCTCATGTCCGGAAGAGAGTGAATTACAACTTTCCCACTGTCGCGAGCCAAAATTAGCCAATATGTTGGTTCCACTAAAGTACAAATAAATGAAAACAATGAGTTCATCTTGACAAAATTTTGCGTTACGCTAGCATACCGGTATTCGGATCAATAGCATCGGATTCTTCTCCGCCTGTTGTCACACTAGTAATTTCAGCCATTCTCTTTCTTTTACGCAAACCCTCATCTGCAAGGGAAGGTATAATATTAAAAGAAATGGAAGATGCCAAGGTTGAACGGCAACCTTTCTTGGTAGATCCTGAATCGCCATAAAGAAGCTCGTCCTCGTCAATCGCCGTACTCGGCATTTGCGGGACGATTTCCTCACCGTACAGATCAATGTCGATAGAGTCCGCTGTGCCACGACGAGAAACCGCTTTCTGTAACAAAGAAACTGAGACAGTTATCAAAATAGACCACTCTCCGAATACCTTCTTAGGTTTAGTTGTCCTTCTTTCGTAAAAATCGTCGGCGCTATCTGAAAAGATCATGAGGCCGCTCATATCTCTGTATATGGATAGCGCAGTCAATGGAGCTCGATGATGAACGGTTTTCTCAGCAAAAGCACTGCCACTCAGGTCGATTTCCTGAGAAGAGAAAAATTCGAAGCCATAGGTATTCGCTCGCATTCGTTCGCTCAAATCACTGTAAAGCATGTTGGACTTACCTGAAGGTGTACGTTGGGGAATAGTACCAGTTGATAGAGCATTAGACGACCATTCTGAGTGAGAAGGGCGACATAAGGATCGACGATGGAAGCTGCTACAACAGGGAAATTCGAGTCAAGATCTATTTGCTGCAGCTGCTGCTCTTCTGCAACCAAAGCGACGCGAAGAGAGGTTACCTGAAAGCACATCAAAAAGCCGATTAGGAGATATGAAACTACTTCTGAGATGAGAAAGAAAAGCGACCTGAACGGCAAGCCCGCCATCAGCAAGCTCTCCTGCTGCCACTGTCGGCTCATCAGAAAGAAACAGTGGTTCCTCTAATTCAACCATGTCTTCTCCCAATTCAAGGATAAGCGAAGAGCGCGTTCGAGAAACAATTAGATACCTCAAAATTAGTAAAATCATAAAATGACCATGGCGATTTACTGTTACAGACTTATGTGAATCGTCCTCTCGTCGTCCGACAGCCCAGAGCTGTTGAGCATCTTGTAAGCTGAACAAGGAACAAATGAGCATCGCGGTTGAGTGTAACACCATAATAACACCAAAATTAAAATCCAGAAAAAAACGTACAAACTACTCGTTATGACGTCTGGTCGCACTGTCCTTTGAAGAACACAAATGGATCCATTCACCATATTTCCTGATGCTGTTATCTGAGAGGATCATAAACGCATTACGTTTCAAGGAGACTACCGCGTATTCTACGTAAATTTTGAGGCAAACAGTAAAGATAAATACCCACAACATCGAAGATCGGATCGGTTCGATCTTGTTCCTGGAGAATAGGACCGATTCCATGAGCACCGCCTGCCGTCATCGCCCTTATTGGTCCTATATTGACTAGTTTGTCCAGTTCTCGAAACACCATTTTCTCTTTCACATCCGATGCTAGTGTGGCCTGAAGTTTCGCGATGAATTTTAAGAATTTCCATTAGGTGTTGATTACTGCACCTATTTCTTAAAGACATGTTCTCTTTAGGATGGATTTAAGGATTTACGAAAATCAGTTTGAAACCGAAGAACCGGAATAATTTGCATTAGGTCTTTGATTACTCACCACCTGTTCAATGATTTGTTCCCCGTACAATTCAATATCTTCGTCATCTGCAGTTAAGTTCTGCTCCACTTTGGGCCTTTTGGCCTCCTGAGATATCTCTTCAGCTGGAATAATGAAAAAACAGCTTAAATCCCGAATTGGATGATCCGAAGTGAACTTCATTATAAATTGAGTTCGACTGAGATGCACAGATGCATGAATTCTGAGTTAGTGAGGGAATGCCAACAGGTAAGTCCCTGTTTGGCAAAGAGACATTAGATGTAAACTCGTCTTTAGGCATGAAATGAGAAACTGTTCCCAGAAACTCTGAAATGATTCCATGACTTTCAAGATCTTTTATCTAATTTGTTGCCATTTTGAAGGGCTTAGGTCGAGAATGCCAAAATGCTATAGACTGGTGGCATAATGGACCAGCATGGTAAATTCCACGCACAAACATTCGGGTTCGAATCATTGTCGAACAAGAATGACTTCTTGCTTTTTTTCAGAAAACTAAAAGCCCAAAAAGCATTTCCATTCAATTGTTTTTTTTTTCGTAACCTTATCGTGTATCAGTGAAAGCAAATTTCTTGGAGGTCGTAACCTACCCGACTCCTCTTTTTCTATGGAAAACTCTAGAAGTTGTGAATCTCCGAGTCTCGAGCCAATAAAAAGCCGTCCAGAGGCGCATAAAGTCATACAATAAGCAATTGAGGTATCTGCAAGAAAGGCAATAAAAAACAAACAAACTAAAAAAGGAAACATTTTTTGCTAGTACTTGAGAAAAAAATGCAAATGCGTGATGGTGATGTAACACAAAAGTCTCACCAAAAACGTGGTCTAATGTTAACGATCTGACAGTTTCGGACGAATCTGTCACCAATTTCAGAACAAATAGTCTCCCATCCATAGTTCCCAATGCTACTCGATTATTTCCGATCCACTCAGCAGGACCAGCATCCAATGTCATGGACATATTTTTTAAATCCTGAATAGCAGATAGAACATATCAGGCCTTTCAAAGCGCACAAGAAAATGCACTCACTACCCACTTTCAGGGGGAACTTCGTGAAGTTGTCATAGCAGCTGTTGAGACTTATTCCACAAGGAGGAACTGACTGATTGAGATAAATCACCTCATTTGACCCGATTACAAGCACACCCCCTAGAGGTTTAGGAATCGCAACCAACCTAAATATTCGATAAAAATGGAGGTGCCAATAAATATCACGCAGAATGTTATAATAAAATGAAAAAAATAGAGAAACCCCAGCAAACTAATTGAAAAGGTCCTGATACAGAACTAGCTCATGTAACTTCTCTCATTGAAGTGATTCAAAACGCTCCAGCCCGCCACAAACTCGCTATTTTGCAGGGGAGACATTTACTAGGGGATTCCACATGCTGACAAGTCTCTATGCATTCACTCTACAAACGAAGCCATAATCCCAAATTAACTATTAACTGAATTTTTCAATCCAAAGAGAGTGAGGCGTTGGTCTTTTGACGACGCTTCAACATAGATCAACTACCAACATTCGCCCATTGGATAGGCGCAATCTGAGGACCTACGTAAGGAAAATTGTGCAAAATAATTGATCACCATTGCAAGTCACACTTAAGATTTTTGAATGCACAACCCATCTTGACGACTCTCATGAAAATCAGCACAATAAGGCTTGGTAAGCTTAGGGCATTTTTTACTCCTTAGATGAGTCCTGCAAAAGGCAGCAAGAACAAAGACTGGGAGGGAACACAAAAATGAGCAAAAGAAAATCAAAAATAATTGTAGCGGGCAACATCATTGTTCAACAAATAAAAAAAGAGTTCAGAAGCAAGACAGAATTCGAAGGTGCTGGCTAGGAGCCAATTATAAGGCAGTAACGCTTATCCCCATTTCGCACTTTCCCTCGACTCCAACCTAGAGGGGAAAAATATACCACTGGATTATGAGATCTAGCACTGTTAGCTCGAATCATGAGAAATTATGCATAAGTGGTACATGCAGTAAAGAGAAGGATATGACAATGAACTTTTAGATGTATCATGAGTCAGGCGAGAGTATCCAACATTTTGGCTTACAGTAAAGAATCAACTACCTGTTACAATCCATCGGAAGACTGCCAACTTGCCATACAATGGCTACTTGTTCATCAAACACATTAACCGACACTCCCAATAAGTGCATGGTGTCATATCGAACAGATGCACTACAAGAAGTAAATCAGTCGAAGAGAAATTTTGAAAGGAATTGCAAGAAAAACTCACCGTCCTGCTGTTGTTTGATGTGGCTCGTAAAGGAACAACAGGGTGGGCTCATAGTATCCGTCGAGAAAAATGATATCGACGATATTCTCAAGGCTAAATAATCGGCGTGAATAATTCATGAAAGCAGGAAGGCAAGCAAAACATTAAACGAAAAACAAACATTAAACACAAGAAACAACAAAACTCACAAACACCGGGAAAGCTCACCGATGGTCTATATCAGAGAGGGGAATCGAGAAACTGTTGATAAATTCACCATCGAATGGTAAAATTCCAAGGATCCTGTCATAAACAATAACGGCACCACATCTGTTCGCCGGATCTGTCTGAAAAACATCACTGGAACCTTCGCTAAACTTCTTACGTTCCAAGACTGTAAAGATCCAGGCTGTGTTGATTAAAATGTAGAAATTAAAAAAAGATAGAAATAAAGATAAGAACGAAAAAGTGTGGGCAGAAACGTCACAACCACTTTGTAGCAACTCTCCAAGCCAGAAGCTTTTTGAAAATTATCGGTCAAAAAATATATTGGTGAAAAACTAAGACAACTTGACGAAAGCTGTATGTCAGTGCACAAGACCCAAAGAACTTTTAGAGATTTTTACAATGCAAATTGGCAGAATGAAAGGCAGTACATAGGGGAAGAAAGCGTTACGAAAGAAAAACTTACCCTAACAATCGGTTCGTGGAAGTGATGAGTAAAACCGTCACGCTTGAATTCAGACAAGAAGCTGTGCAAAGATATTGTACTGAGTGCACGGTCTTCTGCATCAATTGCAACTACGGACACGTTACAGCCCTCGAAAGCGAGCAAGAGCGCCTCAGAAGCAGGGTATCCTTAAAGTGAAGTGTGTGATACAAAGGAGTTTTGGAAGTAAATACTGACCAGGGAGCTTTGCTTTCGCGAAGGACTGGACAGGGGCCATAAAGCGGCAGCTGTAGACACATTCCAGCTTCGTCTTCTGCTTCCACTCCTCTGTAGCATCCTTAGGAGGTATTAATGTATATGGGTTTGTCCGAAACAATCGCAGATGTTTCGCGCCTATAGTGAGCAGCTGGTTCCCTAAAAGATACTCATTGAAAGCGATGATTTCGTTTAAAAAATGCTCCTATCGTGCAATATTTCATATCATTCTTCACTTGATACCCACCTTTTCCAGGCAGAAATTTGCCGTAGGAACTGAAATTCACCGTAGTCGAATCATCGCTTTCATTCAGGTACGAATACATAACGATGGATTAATGAATTTCTATTGGTAGCCAGTTTGAACCTCAACGCATCACTGCCAATAAACTTCTTCGGGAATTTACGAATTTCAGCAAAACCTTAAACAAATAAAATCGAATCAGCTTGGAAGCATGAAAACTTCTATTCGCTATAGGAAGGATACAAATTTATGAAGTTCAGAATCATATTTGCGAGGATTTGGAGTAAGTGTTAGATTTCTACAAGTAGTGCTCAATATGATATCATCGAGCAATGCACGACCGCATAAGGCAGGTTTTCCATTCTGAACGATAAAGTTGAGCACAGTGCACAAACTCTAAGGAAGTTTCAAAAGTTTCTGTAAATTTCAGATTCGGCAGCTGCACCGACGCAAATCTGCACACAGCAGTCATTAGCATCTGCTTACGTCGGACAATTTCAGTTTAGAAGGGTATAAGTACACAATGAAGAGATTAGCAGTGAAGGCACCGAATAAGAATGCAGTGGTATCAAAAACATTCCTATGTCAAAGAAAATTGATTCCCGCCTCTCCTTTAGTCTGGAAAAGCCGGCCTTCTAAAGAAATAATTCGAGAAAACCATAATGACTCATTGGTTCGAAATGAATATTTTTAGGATCAGCATTTGCAGGTCCTTTCAACCAACTTCTGGACGTAGCATCATGGAAGGCCCCTTTGTGCTATAAAAACCTTAACATAAAGTCAATTATCCAATACAATGGACCCCTCCGAGAGGATATGCGATGTGAGGAGTGAATGCAATGATTTCCCTTTGCAGGGTGAGGAGTGGGCCCACTGGGAGATACATTTAGACCGACTCAGTCATCCAGTACCCTTCAGAAGGTTTTTTTTTCGTTGGGGTTCCTTTTTTGCTCGCCTTTTTTGGTGCATTTTTTGGTACTTTGAAATACCTGTTACTCCTCCCTTTGCTGGGGGTGTGGTGCAGTATGAACGAAATTGCCGCATCGCAGTGAGAGACGTCGCGTGCGAAGGAATGCAGCAGAATGCAGCAGCAGGTAAGAAATACAGGAACAAAAGAACCAACACTAGAATCATGCCAGGAGTATCCATGTTCGACTCTAATGAATCTTGGCATAGCTTTGCATTAAATTTATAAAATTTTAATAAAACCTGCTGCCAAGGTGGTAAACAAGTTTTTACCAACTTAAGTTTCGGCGTTATCGCCTTCTTCAAAGCTGAAAACCTCCAACAACAAGAAATGCAAATACTATTCTTTTTGAGAACATGGACCCAGCACAGATGCGAGTGAAAATGACGCTTGAGCCTATGGAAAAACAGAGTATACATAGGACTATAGGACCTGTAAGCAGGGTGAATACAATATTCACGTTATTTGGATTGATGTAAGGTTGATGGACTCGCTCAATTTGAGAACATCTTCTTTGAAAGATGGGCTCCAAACCTGCGAACAATAGGGCAAGACATAAGTTTTGTAAAGACGCAGTAGTATAACTTGGCCTGAGCATCTGATATTCCTTATTAACGCGAATATGACAGCAAATGTTTTTTTTACAGCCTCATCAATGTGCTTAGAAAACTTGAGAGTGGTATCAAACATAATTCCAAGGCCATTGGTTGAGTCACAAATTGGGAGTCTTATTCCATTCACAACATAGTCAGTTGCAGCATACCCCCAAAATGCATCTCCTAGCATTTGCTCAGTTTTAAGGGAATATCCCAGTTAGATGCCCGTACTCTCATTTTCTCCACTGACAACCTCAGCGCTTTTTGTATGTGTACACTATTTGAATATTCATACGAAGCGTACAGTTTAATGTCATCTGCATAGACTTGTACGTGAACATCACTACATGTTTTGAGTATTTGAGGCAGTTCGATGGTGTAAGGCAAGAGCAGTAAAGGTGATAATACTCCACCTTGGGGAAACCCACTAGTATAAATATACTAGTGAAGTTCCCCAAGGAGAAAATAGGACTACAAGCAGACTTTTTTCGGGCACTACCGATGTTATCGCCTCCAACCCAAAGTAGGGGATAAAATAAAGGAATTAGTAAATTATGGCACATTAACCCCGGTGGAATTTCGGATTGGACTACTCCATTAGTGGTCGTTCTCAAGCCTGGAGGTAAAATCAGGAAACGCGGAGCTTAGAAAATAAGAATTAATCCTCGATTAAATATAAACCAATATGCCGAAACCAGAAGATTTGTTCCACATGTTGAACGGTGGGCAAAAGTTCTTAAAAATAGATTTGTCGGAGGCGTACATGCAGATCGAGTGGGATAGGGAATCCAGGAAGTATACTACAGTAAGTACTCAGAAAGGGTTGTTTGACAACGGGATAGCTTTCGGAATGTATTCGCTCCAGCGATTTTCCAAAAATTAATGGAAAGAACATTGGCTGGAATTGGGGGGTCGTAATCTATTCAGACGGTATCACGGTGACGGAACCGGATGAGACGACTCACCTCATTAGGCTCGAATAGTCTTGCAGAGACTAAAATCAGCAGGGTTCCGCCCCAAACGAAACAAGTGCGACTTCTAAAGACCAAGGTAGAGTTTCTGGGCAATCTTGTGGATGCCCAAAGGATACGTCCATCACCGCAGAGAATAGAGACAATTGTAAGCAGACAGTTGTAGAGCCCGCACCAAGGAATATGAAAGAGCTGGAATCCTCTTTGGGCATGTGTCACTACTAAGGCAAATTCGTGCCTAATTTAGCAACATTAGCAGTCCCGCTACATGCGTTTAGGAAGAAAGAAGTTGGATGGTGCTGGGATTCTGAAACCAAAGAGCGCTCGACAAAGTAAAGGTAAGGCTCACTGAAACCGATATACTGACGCTGATAGTACAGACGCATGCGATTATGGACTAGGAGCAGTAACATATCACAGATATGAAGATATCGCTAGAAAGTTATCGCTTATGCCTCTCATTCGTTGATGATAGGAGAAAGAAATTACGCGCAAATGGGGAAGGAAGCTTTAGCACGCATTGTGTACGGCGTTGAAAAATTTTATCAATTTTTGTGCGGCAGGAGGTTTACGCTACTGACAGATCACCAACCCTTGGTAAGGATATTCGGTCCAAAAAATGGACTACCCACGATAGCAGCTAGAAGACTGCATTGATGGGCCTTGTTACTTATGGTCTACTCATTCGATACTCAATATCGGAAAACTTCAGAATTCGGAAATGCAGATGAGCTGTCGCGATTGCCCGACTCCCATGAATTACCAAACGCAGAAATGGTGATTAGCGAGTTGCAAGGAGAGCGTTGAATCGAAAAACTTTCATCAACCTGCCTCTGTCAGAAGAAGAAGTAGCGAGAACAACTGCAGAAGGCTCTGAGCCTGCTCATGTCCTAGATTATGTAAAAAAAGGCTGACCGCTTCGGGTGGAAGAGCGATTTAAAATCTTTGCAAGTAAAAGTTTCGCGATATCGATTTATGATGAGTGTCTGACGTGGGCGATGAGGGAGATATTACCCACAAAGTTCCTGAAAACGGTGCTGAGAATGCTGCATAGCGGCCATTATGGTAGGAATCGTATGATGAGTCTGGCCCGACGGAAGGTTTGGAACCCTGAATAGATAGAGTAATGGCCCAAGTGGCTCGGACTTGTGAAACGCATGCGGTAATTGGCAACTGTAGAGATGCACAGTTGCTGGATGTCCGAACTGACTTGATGGTGGTTCAGTGGTTCAGTGATATAGCATATGTAGCGAAGAACGTCGTAGTTGATAACTTTATTGATGCCAACGCCGATCCAATGAGATGAGAAATGAAGTAAAGTGAACTGAAGTGAACCCTACTGCCTAAGAGGGTTCTTATACCCTGATTGTTTTGGTGCGTAATCAAAACGACCCTAGTCACTTATCACAAGCAACACAATAGAATGAAGTACGATTCATAAACATCTTTCGGTCTAATATCGATGATCGATGAGTCGATATTCTCCGGGCCCACACGTAGTTGATCCTCGATGAAGTTCCTTCGGTTAGGTCGTCGTCGTTTGCCGTCGAACTAGTCAAGCGATTGCTCGCGTTCTGCTTGGACACTTGTTCGTTTCCGTCCAGCTCGAGTGGTACGAGTAGGTTGATTGGGCGTCGGGTTGTGCGCTTGTTTGCTAGAATCGATTGGGCTTCCCGTATAACGCCCTCTTTGTTGGGTTGAACCTTCGTGATGCGGCCAATTTTCCAATTGTATCTGGGAAGGTTAGGATCCATCAAAAGAACAGCTGCTCCTTCCGTAGGAATCTTCGCTGTGCCATGATTGTTGGCAAGGTATCGAGTGCGCTGCTCTCTCAGAGCGGTGAGATACTGTTCTATCCAGATCTTCCAGAACTGTTCTGTTAGGTGGTGTGAGCTTCGTAGCGCTTCCTCTACTTGTTGTCTGGTGCGTAATTGGAGAGCGTCTTCTGAAGGATGGTAGGTGGGATCGTCTGTAGATTCAAGTCCATCCATCGGGTGTGTGATGATCAGGTCACGCTGTATGAAATCGATCGGGCGAAGTATTGGGCGATCATCCCAATGTTCCTCTTGATACGTTAGTGAGCGTGCATTCAGCGTCCCTTCTATTTCTGGTAGTAGTGTCGTGAGCTGTTCCAAGGTAAATACTGTTTTTCCGATAGTTTTGTATAGGGAATGTTTTATGGTCTTGATGAGCCTCTCATAGAAC